CAGGAGGCTCATGAGGGCATTTGGGCTTCCCGAGCTGCCTGGGCCGGGCAGCTGTTATCAGAGTAAAGCGATTGAAAAAGGCTTGCAACACAACTGAGAAGCCCTGAATCCATCCCTGACCTGTCAACCCAGAACTAGCTTTGTGACTCGGAGCAAGTGAGCGAGGGTCCATTACTGCAGCTCGTTGTCCTTCCCGCTGATTGTTTTGCACGATTCCTGGCTTTGACAATAGTTCCAAGGGGCTTGACTGGGGAATTTGGCTATCTTATGCTCCGGGGTCACCAGGCCTCGAGGCTTGAGTGTGCCTTGGACATTCAGGATAACTGCATAACAAAGTTTGATCCCAACCTGAAAGACGTGATGATTGTTTGGATGCCCAGAACTTCCGAACTGCAAGTAGCAGCACAGTCACCTTACTTTCCCATGCTCCAAGGATGGTGCTCAACTGGAGCAGTCAAATGACTGGGTCTTCTGGGGAGCTGTGCTGCAAGCTCTGAAGGATGGGCTGTGTTGTACTGGACGGCCACGCATGGGCGCTCAGTGATGAGACGCAGAGGTTTTACTTTCATTGGCTGACGTTTCACCTGACCGAAGCCCTCGAACTTGGCTGCTATTCAAGCTTTCATTTGTCGCAAAACCTATTGTTGCAGCGATCTCAGTTGCCGTCCACATAGCATTCATTTTGTTGAGTCAGGACTGCTGAATTGTGTTGTACGTGCGTATCGTACTTCTGCGTGGCTCGAGGAAGAGGATATGGTAGCGTTGCACACAAGGAACTATTGCGCATGTGACAAGCGCTCCCAGCAGCATGATCGGCTGCGCTTCGCCAAGCCCCTCCCCCCCAGGCCGTCATGTCAGTGTTGAAGCAAAAACAGTCTTCTGCAACCACAAGCTTCATGAGATGAAGTTTGCATGTTTGGCTCGTCGAGCCAACACGCGCAAAGCATCAACTCCTCAGCTTGGCCATGTCTGCTTCGCTTCTTGCCGGTGTGGCGCTTAGGAATGCCATGCAAGTGACTGCACGTGATGGTGAAGTTGGTGAAGACTTTCCTCTCTTGAGTACAGCGGGAAACTGCGCGAGTCGTAGTTTCAGTCAAACACTTGGCCACATGTTGTCCCAGCACCTGAGTAAGCAACCAGACTCCGAGACTGGAGCCAATTTAGCATCGACAAGTGAAACCCAAACATTTCGGCTGTCGCTTGCAACATGTATGAACAACCAGCAGAGTCAACAGCGTTGATAAATTGTTGAGACGCGCATGCAGCGTTGGGAAGGCCAAATCAAGTGGCATCAGCTGTTTTTCAGGTAGAAGTCCACATGCAGGCATACTCATCACCGCTGATGCAAGCTGCCGTGAGGTCACCGCAGGTCACTGCGAGGACTGATGCAATACCTCAACACAACAGGTTCACCCTGCATGCTGAACAGTGGGCTCATAGTGTGGCTCCTGCGCCTGCGACCGGACCCAAAAATGCGTGCGAGGCAACGCAAGCTTTACAATTTTGTTTACGTCCTGGGCGTCACCGAGTTAATCGCCGATTTGCTGGCACGTCTGTGGTGCCGCAAAGCCTTCAAACTCTTTGAGAAGCGTCAGGTGGCAGTTTGTCTCGCATGGAGCTGCCAACAAGTTTGCGAATTTCGCTACCATGTTCCGCGGGCTATCAACTGGGAAGGTGCGTGAATCGCAGCTTTTGGTCTACAGCTTCGCATGCCATACCTTGCGTGCCGGACTTATCGTGTCAGCCCGCACGAGTTTGCACACCACAAGCAGAAACATCTTTGCCAATGAAGCTGTTTAAGCACCGGAGACGTAGCCATCTTTGGACATTTTCTTTTGCAAGACATGTTGCGCCTTCCGCGCCGAAAGATCAGGGCTAACAGCATGCCGCTGCCAGATCGGGCCCGTGCCCCATGACAACTGGCCGTGGGTCCAAATGATATATAATGTTTCGAAGTAATGTTCATCAAACACGATAGTCCAGCTTTCTCGGCTATCCAGGAGCTTGTTCCAGATCCGTCGCCTCCCTGGTTCACGGTGCCTTGGCCTCTCTGAAGAACATCGAAGCAGCCATCCTCAGGCCATTCAAGACATAGCTATAAATGCCTGATTTCTCTACTCAAATAGCCACACAGCAGCAATAATCATCAGAATCAAAAGGCTAAGAATAGAGACTTATTGTAGCCAAAGCCTGCACATGCAGAATCACGACAAACATTATGCTGCCGACTGCTACTCACATGGGGGTTATCAAAGTTATGGTCCCTACAGCCCCCGAGAAACTTACGCAAGACCTTGCCCCAGAC